CATAACTTTATACGTGTCTACTTTCACAAAGTGAAATAATTATATATATATAATCATTTATTCGTATCTATATATATAGTAAGACAGCACGAGAATCGTTCTTCGCTAACTGAAATTGATCGAAGAAACAAATCGCATGGGAGAACTATTATTTTTCTAATATATATCACTCATTGATTAATTTTCTTCAAAGTTCTGAAGGAAATTTGCATTTCGCTTTTTACTTTCATCACGTAGCTCGTGAAAAACTATATTCAGATATATTTAGAATATGACCTTCAAGTGACCTTGGACTACAGTTTTTTAAATCAAGGCGAAACTTGAGGGGCACGTATTTCTATCACAACTGGTCAGAAAATAATACTGCAACACTGTATATTTGATACAGGAAACAAGTATAGATAAGGGGAAGTATTATATATTTTCATATGTTTTTTTTTTCTTTTATATACGTGAGTTAAATGAAAAGAAAAAAGTGACAATGTGCACAGAAGTCATATTATATTAATTTCAATAGAGAAATTGATCTATGAAAAAAAATGCTAAAAAATAAAAGAAATAAAAAAAAAATAATTCAGAAATAGTAAATGTAATTATTCTAAATTTGAATACAATTTAAAAAAAAAATGTTCTTAATGAATTTTTTTTTTAAATCAATTCATAAAACAATTCTAATTGTTAAATTTATTAAATTTCGAGGTCGAATTTCTAAATCATTACAAGCCATTTGACCAGGCTGTTTAGGGTTGCAGGTAATGTAACAATCTGTCGTTTTCACCTGAATCACGCGCGAGCCTGCGGTTACGTTTTCCGACAACGTTACTTCGTACGACTCCTCGTCGAATATCGGCGGGTTGTCGTTAACGTCTCTTATGAACACAGTGGCCGGCACCGATGCGGACAGGTTCGTTGCTGGACCAACCTCCTGTGCCACGATCTGGATTCAATGGAATTGCCATTAGAAATCACTTGGTCAGCGTACAAAGACACTTACACGCTACCTTGAACGATAGAACTTTGTGTCGTTCGTAATCGATGAACGCGTTGTCTCGAACGCTCACGATGAAATCCGCGGCGCGTTCCGCCACCGTTGGACTTATCTCGAACGTGTTGTTGTTGCCCTCCAACTTCAACGCGAACACCCCGGCTTTACCGATATCCTCGTCCTTCACTCGGGTCGAATATTGCTCGCCGAAATTGATCACAGTCCCCGGTTCCGGATTTTCGTCTATCGTCGCGACGTAACTGTAACAAAGAAGAAGAAGAAAAAAAAGAAAAACAATATGCGAGTTGTGTTACATAGTTGTATATTTAAGCTACATGCATTCGTCGTAGAAGAAACGTTTCAACATCGGTTGTACCACCGAATTCACGAAAACATGTATCTGTTTCGAAGATGTTGAAAGCCTAGATAAGAAAGTAATACTTGACTACTGATTTTTTTTTTTGTACAAGGAATAGTTTAGTTCGACGAAACTTAAGTTGGTCGAAGAGACGAATCGCGTGGGAGAGTTATTTTTTTAAAAAAATATCTTTTTCTCTAAGCGAGGCAAGTACATTTCTTTCTACTCCATCACGTAGCTGGTGAAGAAAGAAATACATTCAGATATGTTGTTCACGGAATACGATCTTCAAACGACCTCTGACTTTACAATTTGTGATCTAGTAGTTTTACAACTGTTGAAAGAAATGGAAATTATATTCAAGTCTCAGGTACCAACTTATCGCTCTCGAAGTATGGCGGGCTGTTGCCTGGCTCCCCGAGAAGAAAGCCAACGTCAACAACCGTCGCTTGGGCAGGCGGTTCTTCTCTGCTTCTTCTTATCTCTTCAGCAACCACCGTGAGGACAACCGGTGCTCCGACGTGCGTGATCTGGGTGAGTTCCTCCAAAGGCCTGGCAAGGCTGATTTCACCTAACGACCATATCGACATTTGAAATTTAGATTTACCTAGTCTTCGAACTAATTGCAAGTCCGTTTCTTTCGACCCATTGCTGAAAAAAGGAAAGATCGTCAAGGATTAAACGTTTTTTACTCGCACGAGGCAAAGAGGGGACCTGTGTCACCAGTCGAATTACTTTTATTAAGAATTATGAATAAAACATTTCGGTCGATGATCCCTGTTACTTATGTACAAGGCGTGTAAGGCACGCACGTGTTCAATAATGGAAACTTTCCATAACGCGTCACGGAAAGCAGTTTAGCCAGTGGAATTGCTCTCATTAACATACATTACCTCCTCCTATAGTTTCGTATCTCTCTTCTTCTCATTCACACTGTATTACCTACGTAATTTCGATATCAAAGCGAATAAGTTGATAATACAAGTGGCTAAAAACCAATGCATCATAAGGATCGATAATTGTTTCAACATTCTACACCGTGTATTCTTTTTAAATATATTCTTAATACTCCTAGACATCTATTTTTTAATTTTATAATTGAAACTTACAATGGAATTGCTCTCATTAACATACATTACCTCCTCCTATAGTTTCGTATTTCTCTTCTTCTCATTCACACTGTATTATCTACGTAATTTCGATATCAAAGCGAATAAGTTGATAATATAAGTGGCTAAAAACCAATGCATCATAAGAATCGATAATTATTTCAACATTCTAAACCAGAGCCGGTTAATTGGCGGCTCGCGAATCCTTCCCCTACTTTCGATCTGCTTGATGAGGAAATCAACAGAGTGAGAGAGTGGGACTCATGCAGAGCGAGGAGATTTCAATATAGTGGAGGGGATCGATGCAGTGGAGGGGGTAGCGTTAGCGATCAGGAAAGTAGGGGCGAGCCGCCAGTTAGCCACCTCTGTCCTAAGCCACACTCTTAATATTCTTAATCGCCCATTTTCAAATGTTATTAATTGAAACTAGCAAATGAAATTGCCCTAGTTAGTTCGTATTTGTCTTGTTTCCATTCACGTTATATTCAAAGCAATTATAATTGTGTTTAATAACCAATATACCACAAGAATCAATAATCATACATCAACATTCTAAACCATGTATTCTTAATATTCTTAAACATGCATCTTCGAGTTTTATAATTTGAAAGCAATGAATAGGTACGTGTCCAGTAACAGTTAGTTAAATAATCAACGTCCCTCCCCTTATCACGTCCACTTTTACTCCGGCAGCGCGTAAAATTACCCGTCGCCCGTCGTTTATGTTTCGAGAGCACAATACGCCTTTATCTTTTATATTCCTTCTGGCCCGTTTCTTCTTTTTCTTTTTTCTTTTCTTTTCTTTTCTTCACCGGCTTTCCCCGGCAGCCACGCGCGGCCGTATACGAAGAGGTCGCATGCTTCGTGTCACGAAATGATAAGCATCGCAGCCTGAAAAGCAGAGACTGACCCGAAGTGCGATCGATACCGCGCTGTAGACCGCCCAAGACTTTCCTCCGAGCAAGTGGCCACTTCCATCGAGTTCTGGCCACTTGCTCGCCTGACTCGTTTTTGATTCCGCGGGAAGAGGGAAAAGAAATATCCATATCGCCCATCTTAGACGTTAGATAACACGTGTATATGTCGTGGCGAGCTCGCGATCGTTCGGTCGAAGTTTCACGGCCCTTTGCGTAGCATTTTCCCTTCCTCGAGTATGCACATCACGTAAACTGAAAACTGCTGACTCTTTCGACCAGTTTTGCAAAACATTACGCGTTGACATCATAGACGGGATAAGAAAGTCCAAGAGTCAAGCAATTTCAAAAGTACCATTTTCGTGGCGAATAACGGATCAATGGGAAAAAGTTTTCTCTATAAAAAAATCGAAATCCCTCTATAAGGCTGACTCTTATTGATCAGTGTTGTGCTTTTCTCGTAATGGAATTTCTGCCAGCAACGCTTTCATTTATTTTTCACCGCGCTGCAATTGCATACGTAATCTTCTTTCCCGTGTTGCGCGTTTCAAAGGGGGGGTATGAATCATTCATTCACGCTTCAACGCTGCAAACGGCGGTGGTAAATTAATTTGAAATCCAACTCATCGAGTGGATAATTCCTGAGGAATCGGGAATTAGGTCATTCGACTTAAATGTGTGTATATACGTGAGCCTGGTGAATAATTTGTGAATAATTCTTCTTGACAGAAATGTAATTACCCGAACTACGAATTATTGTTATTTGATAATGGCAATCAACGCTCTGATAAATTTGCAAAACTTTAACGAAATACTTGAGTTGTAGAATTTCTAATAAAATAATTAATAAGACATGCTGTGTAATTTCGAATTGAAAAGAAAATGGCACAATATAATTTCTCAAGTAGTTTCTCTAAAAAAAAAAAAAAATCGTGATACAATAGGGATAACCCATGAGTAACGTTATCTTTTTTCAAATTTAATAAACATTGTTATTTAGCAGCAATAATTTAACTTGTCGTAACATAACCTATATTCTAGTTGAGTATATCGACGTATTTAGTGTGCTTGTCGTTAACTAACTATCATTAACTCTTGAATAGAAAATGGCACAATATAATTTCTCAAGTAGTTTCTCTCTAAAAAAAAAAAAAAAAAAAAATCGTGATACAATAGGGATAACCCACGAGTAACGTTATCTTTTTTCAAATTTAATAAACATTGTTATTTAATGGCAATAATTTAACTTACGTCGTAACATAACCTATATTCTAGTTGAGTATATCGACGTATTTAGTGTGCTTGTCGTTAACTAACTATCATTAACTCTTGAATAAAACGAAATGTTTCGAAAAGTGTCAGAAAACGAATACACATTACTCGTGGCTATTTCCGTTAATATACTCTCACCGTTTGTTTCCGAGATGTTAAAAAAGGGCGTGAAGGGATTGCCCTCGGACACTAGGCCGTACACGATTTCACGCGGCACACCTTTGTCCCCGTCCTCGGCGTGCACTCGCAGTATTATATCACCCTGCAATAGAAATTTACGAATAATCGTTTACACGAGAAAGCCATACTATGAAAAATAGTTTTTTTTTTTTTTTTTTTTTTTGCTTTGAAAGAGACTCACAGGTTGTACAGAGTTGTTGATCTTTGTGAGGGGTGGAGCTAGTGTGAAGATTGGGGGGACATCCTGGACGTCTCGCACGATCACGATGACGCTCAAACCCGCGATGTTTCGAGTGTCTTTCCCCTGTTCAGAGTACGGATCCTACCAATAAACGAAGCATTTCGTTTAAATTTTCTGCCTCGAGAAGTTAGAACGACAATTGGTTAGAATCTTGCATACCGTGGCATACATGGTGAGGGTGTACATGGATTGAGTTTCGAAGTCTAGCTCTCCGGTTAACACGATTATTCCTCGCGTTTGCGTGGGTGTCTGCCGTTGCCTTATCGTGAAAAGCTCTTTCGGTTGCTGCAAAGGCGACAATTGATTGTAATGCGGTGTAATACGACCATGGTGTCAGACGATACATTCCTTTTCACTTTCATTTCATTTTATATTCATTACGTATATTCTCTTGATATTAATTGTCGCTCCGTGTCTAAGAAAATATCGTTTGTCTAGCTCTATACCTAGGCAAGTATTGTAATTTGAGTGACTCACCCAGAGTTCGATATAAACCGGTTTTCCACTCCAAGAGTTAGCCCGTACTAGAAGATAATCTAATTCTTTGCCAGGTTTGGTATCCTGCGCAAAATAATTTTGCAACATTGATTGATCGTCGATTTCGACAGGTGAAGAATGTAGTACTAATGAGAGAAATCGGATTCTCTTCCAAGGGAAAGTGATAACGCTGATCTAAAGCTGGTTGTTAGCCAGTACGATGAATAATTACCTCCGGCACCATTATGAGCGAGGGTATGTGCGGGAATATTTTGTCACGGGGGGTGGTTGCGTTCGTAACTGAAATTGTGGCTTGCATCGAGTTCGAGTCTCCCTTCGTGTCTCGAACCCTCACTGCAAAATCGTGAAGCCGTCCGGCGACTAGTCGTTTCGTTAGAATCACATTAGCCTGGCACACTTTGTTGTACAACGTGCACGGTAGGTTGTCGATCCTCACAACAGGTGTGATGGTAGCTGAAGAGACGAAGAGGAAAGAAAAACATTCATTCCGAACGTTTCCGACGGCACGGTTTCCTTATTTACCGGTTATTTCGAAAACGAGCGGGAAATCTGCATCTTGGTCGGTGGCGCGAAGCCGAAAAATGACAGAGTCCACCTCAGCATCCGCCGGAACTAGAACCAATCCCATGTCCGCGGATGTATCAAAGCGTGGACGTGCACCCTTTGCCCACGCGAAAACGAATCCGAAATAAATCCATACTTTGCACCATCCCCCTGCAAAGGGCATTCTGCGAACAGCCAGCCAATCAAAGGATTGAAATTTCAGTCAGCATTGAAAGGCACCCGACTTTAGGCGATTCTAAATGAATTTGAAGTAAATGGAACGACAAGCCTTAAAACACGAGAGAAATTTAACAATTAACAATTTAATTTATTGTAATACTTTTCTAAATAATCGTACGATTTTATTATTTTAACACTGTAACGATCGAACCGAACGCGCATCATGATTTCACGAGTGCTTGAAAGAAACACTGTCTTTGTATTTTTGTCAAAATTAATGTCAACTTCTGCTTGTTTGCAGAACGTAATTGTACAAATCAAATTTATTTCAATTACACGTTATTACAAATGATTTTTACAT